TGTGCTTTATATGTCTTAGATTGCATGCTTTAGGATTTTTCTTTTCCTTTTTAGTCGTTTTCGTTTATTTATTGTTTTCTTTACCAAAAAAAAAAAAAAAAATTGCTTGAGTCGAACGCATCGATGAGTTATGATGATGAGAGATGATTAATGTTTGATGATGAAATTGCTTGTTTGTGTGATAAGGATTAGATGTTTGTTTAGCTTTCGATTCAACGGAACTTAGAAGCGAATTATTGCTAGGAATCACACTTTGTGCATTGCTTTGGTTGAATGTTTTGTATCTTAAATTTGGAATTAATTTGTGCTAGATCATACTATGTTCGGTTTTAGAACTCACCTTAGGAAATTTATGATACGAAGTATTGAGTAGTGAGTGATTTGGGATATGATTTGGGCCTTCTTTGAACCGTTTGAGCCTTTCAAGCCGACCTTTTTTATCAAAATTATCCTTAGAACCTTGATTTGAGCCTCGGAGAAAATGTATTCTTTCTTTTAGCCAATGTGTAAGGTAGAATAGGTGGAGATTCTTGAAAAATTACCCCTTGGAGTTCGGTCGAAAAATTTTATAAGGTCCTTCTTCTTCTTCGTAAAAAAAAAAAAAGAGATAAATATATATATGCTTCTATATATATATATTAAAAAAAAAAAAAGAGAGAGAGAGAGAGAAAAGGAGAAGAAGAAGAGACTAGAAGGGAGAAATAAGGACTAGTTTGTGAATTGTTTTGAAAGCTCGATCCATTGTCTAAAGAGCAAAAGGGGAGACTTTTGAACTCTTAAGAATCGAGTTTATTAAAGTCCGTAGAGGTGAATTCGTTGTTTCAAACGCCTATCTTTAAAATTTTGGCGTAATCACCTAAATTCAAGAAGAATAGCCACATATACCCATATTTCCTACCTCGAACCAAAGAGCCTAACAATTGAAAGCCACAAAGTCCCAATGATCCCAATAACTTAATGTTCGATATTAGTAGAGTAGAATAATTTGGTGAGTATTTGGAGTCAAGCATATTCATGTAAGTATAAATTTTTTCCATCTTTAATTTACAAATATTGGATGCTTGAAGCAAGTGCATGATTTGTGGTTTTTGGCTATGGTAAGTGACTAAGTGCTTTTGAATTTTGAGCTTGCGAATGCCTAAGAATTTTCATTATAATTACAAGTTCTGAAAACGTGAAGTTGGTCATTAATCTATGTGATGAGATGCGGTAGTTGAGTTATTTGCTTACGAATAGATTTTGCTTGAGGACAAACAAAAGTTCAAGTTTGGGGTGTGTTAAGTGTATATTTTTACATTTTATCGTATCTTTTTATTTGAGCTTTTGGTGTGTTTTAATGATAATTGGTGCTTAAAAAGTTGATTTATTGTATTTTAGGTACAAATTGAAGAATTAGAAAAGTATGGGGTCAAAACTGCAATTTTGGCGAAAATATGGGTCAAAAGTGAAAATATCAAAATTCTGAAGACTTAAAGCTCAGACCCCCGTCCCAGTTTTAGTGCAAATTGTGAGACCCCCGTCCGAGACTCCGAAGTTGCGCAGTAAAGGAATTTTAATTGCACAAGGAAGCTGCATTCTTCCCCAAGTTCTTCACCCTATATAAGACCAAGTCAAGCACACAATTATGGATCAATCTTTTTACGCAATTTCAAGAGCAACAAAGCAATAACGAAGACGAAGAATTCGAAGACTTCAAGCATAGATTTATCGTCTATGATTTATTTTATTTGCGTTTTTCCTTTAATCATGAGTAGCTAAATTTCTTATTTCTAGGATTTTATTTGGAACCCTATGTGGGATTTATGAACCCTTTTCTATGATTTTATGCAAGTTTTAATTCCGGATTATTTCTTGTACTTGTTTTATTAAGTGCATGAACTTGATCAACTTATGTGCTTTTATGTTATTGTTAATCGCATGAATCGGAAGATCGGGTTAATAATTAGAACTGTGGTAGAAGAGCCTTTGTGGTATTAACATAGGAATATAGTTAATCTCTTAGGTAGCCATTATTGAGATTTGTGCTTAATGCTGTGTTCTAGAATTAATTGCATATGAATATAGTAATTGAATCTAGAGTATTAGAATCGTAATACACGCGAAAGCGGGTTATGATTATTTTAGCATCTCAGGTTAATAATCCGGGTTAAGTGCTTGCATAATTGAAGGAATCGGGAGAGTAATAATCACATAGGGGGAAGAATAAAATCCTAGGCTTGTTTACTTTGATTAAATCTTCGTTTTTAATTGCTTTCTTGTTTTTGCTTGCTTTTTAATTTAGTTTAATTTAGTTAATTCTCTCTAAAATTCGATTGTGTAGGGTGGGCTTGATAATAATTGGTAGAATTTAGCGTCTAGGATTAGGTAATTAGATATTCCCTGTGGGTTCGATATCCGGACTTAATTGTCCACTATATTACTTGTACGATACGTGCACTTGCGTGTAGGTTTTCGGCCAACAGGGAGCCAGGAGACTCATCTCATAGCTCAATCAATCAAATGAGATTTGGAACCAGAAGATTCATCTCATTGCTTAAACAAGATTAGGAGCCAGAAGACTCATCTCATAGCTCGTACGAGATTTGGAGCCAGAAGACTCATCTCATAGTACAATGATTTATCGGCAAATGAGATTGGGAGCTCGAAGACTCATCTCATAGTTCAAGGATTTCCTCAGCAACCTGAGATTGATTTTAAAGAGGTATACTCTTTCATGGTAAGTCTTATTAAATTCGTGGTCACAAAGTATCTTATGGGGATCTAGATACAAATATTTATATGAAAGTCCCTAAAGGACTATGTTTCCCCGAAACAATTAGTTCCAGACCACGGAACATAAACTTAGTTGGGCTGAGACATTTACTTAAATTGAGGCTTGAAATATTCCGGAAGAATATGATAATATCCTAAGTGAGTAATTGCTCCGGAAGAGAATATGTGAACAATAACTGATTTTGATTGTTCCCATTACTACAATTTATGTTTAAGGACATGAACATGATTTGAACTCCTGAAGAAATCAAGTAAGAGAAACTCAATTGTTGAAATTTGAGTTCAAGATCAAAGATCTAAATGAGACTAATTTGTTGTCTGTGCCAACTTAAAATTATCATGTCAATTATATTTATGTCCATCAATCGAATTACATCGAGAAGATGTTATGGATAAAGAGAAATTATCGAGTAACACCTATGGGAGTTGGAAAGTGGAAAAGGTCCAATGATTCATTCCGTCCCATGGAGCAGGACGAAGAAGTGTTAGCACCAGAAGTGCCATATGTAAATCCAATATATGCATTATTATACTTAACTCCATGTACTCGATATGATTTAGTTTTTTCGGTAAATTTATAAGATAGACTTATCTCACCTTACCGACACGCCCTATGCATCAATGAATGAGGCGAAACTTGTGGTTTATATTGGCATTGACTAGAAGTCATATCCACACAAAGCTCGTTCCCATTCCATGGTTTAGTATTGGGAAAATAGCTATGTCTTGGGGTTCTATGAAATGTACCTCAGTTGTCACTAGATCAAATCATGCATGATGTTTGCTTCACGAGATAGTGAGTGAATGCACATGGCCTGAAGCCATGATTAGGCATGTTCGAGATTCCTATGAATGAAGATCCTACGGGATTGTATTTTACTGTAATACAATATGCATTGAGCAAATGAAGATCGGCTTCATTAAAGTGACAACTCCATGTACATAGCTTTGAAGTTTTCTTCAATCAGCAACAACAATAGCCTAAACAAATAATGATCCCGCAGATCAAAATTTGAGATAACTACTCCAACTTTAAGAATAAGTTTTGCCTAAAGTCAACTTTTGAAAACAAGTTAAGGCTATTGACTTGAGTAGATTATCCGAGTTCACTCCCTTGTACATATCAGGGGGAGTTAACTTGAGGGGGAGTACCGTGTAGGTACTCAGTATCCAGAAGATACCCGGGTGCCCTGTTGTACTCTTTTTCCTGTGTGCGAGGTTTATTTTTCCTACGGGGTTTTCGTTACTCGCCAAGGTTTTAACGAGGCAACACATGATGATTGGAAAGATTGTGCGTTGTACTCTTTTTCCTAACCGAGGTTGTTTTTTTCCCACTGGGTTTTTATTACTCGGAAGGTTTTAACGAGGCAACATGAAAAGCACAGTAGTATTTTGATAGGAATCCCCAAGGTGGAGTGTTGTAAATAATATGGAAAAGTGGGTCTTCCTATCCTAATACATGAGAGGTTGTAACCTCCATATTCCACTATAGATTCTCAACTTCCCACTACCCCATTATCCCCACACATTGTAGTGGTTGTAACTCCTATGTAACTCCTTTGTAACTTCCGGTGGATTACACCTATATAAATGAGAATCTCCCCTCCCCTAAATCACACAATTATCTCTCTACGGATCTTGTTTACTTGTATTCTTTCATTCTCTCTCCTTTTCTTATTATTTACATTCTTATGTATATCCACAATCACAAACCAAAGAGCTAGATAAATAGGTCATTTTACAACAATAACTGTACTTATCAGAAATATTTTCGGAAATTAAACATGGATCGAATATCTGAACCTCATCATATAGATTTCAGTTCGATAAAAAAGAATTTGGAAAAATCAATAATCAATATTATTCTAAAGTCGAATATTTCTGATCGAAATTGATTTAAAAGAATACGGTTCCAATTTCTAGCTCTAATGAATAGTGTAATATTATTCTATCCAATTAGGCCCATTTTGGTTCGCCGGATCCGGACGTATTGATCTTCTAATTGGGGCGGATCTGTGATTTGGTACAACCCAACCGGATCCGGGATGGATCCTGGGCCCGGGTCCAAATCCTCCAATTACGTGATGCTGCATCCCACCCCTGGAGGTGAGATTAGGTAATCTCATCCATTGTTGAGGTTAACCCGTTTGTGATATTACTTTGTTGCCCTTAAATTTGATTCGTAATTACAATTGTACTTAATATATATATGAATTATCTTCCACAGTTCACACTACGCGGTAGCCCTAGATTTGTTCACTCCCATTAAGATTGGTCTCATCGTCCACTTCCGATTCTCTACTATCTACCATCTATCATTCAAGTAAATCCGTTAATTTTTTTTTACGCATTGTGATGCTATTCGTTCGTTGTTTCACTGGTTTTTATGCAGGCCTACAAACGGAGTTCCCGAATCAGGCATCGGCGGCATCGGCGGCGTTGAGGCGTAGCAGGCTCTTCTTTCCGGCACATGTATATTTCGCGAGGTGAGTTCTTGATATTCTTCTTTTGGCCTCTGTATTTACATTTGAGTACTTTTTAATGATATGTTTATGATTTTTTATATTATAACGTAATTGTTTTGATGTGTTCAGTCCCCATTGTATGCCTTATTCCCCATAAAAAAATCCCATGTTATCGAACAATTACATAAGGATTATTTTATATTTGTTTATAGGTGTTGCAATTTTATTTTTTGCATTCTTTGTGTAGTACTTTGATGTACAATATGTGATACTCTGTTCTTCTTGTCGGGCAGACAGTCCTTCCATTGCATAAAAATATGCCACAATATGCCAAAATTGACCATAAAATTTCCTATTTATTTGAATAGCAGTGGACATGTTATTTAGGAATATTTTGATTTAAAATTAATTTTGAATCCCAGCGGGCTATTACTATGTTTTTTGTGGGGTTCATCAGTTCACAAATGAAAAACGAAGGATCGCGTGGGAATCTTATCTGTAATTGTAGATGATGGAATGTGAGTTACAGAATATTAATACAGTACAAAGCTGCAATGTTATGTCTTCCATTGATGGGAGAAAAAAGCAATAAATATCTTGCTCTATTTTTCCAATTAAGAACGAAACAATTATCGTATCTTGCTTTATTATTGTTTGGGCCGAGTGCTTTGTTATTGTTGTAGCTAGTCAGTTCAGACATCCCGTAATGATGCATCCTTCCTTTGTTCGTTTATAAATGGTTGGTTGTTTTCCAATACAGTGTACTATTCATTACAAAATTTAATGGCAAACAACACCGAACAACAAATTGTAGTCTTAGCGGTATATGAAGTGCTATAGCAGCACCTTATGAGATGATGAGGCAAAAATGTTGAAGATGGTGACCCGGAAGGAGATGATGAGGCTTTCATGTCCGTGGAACAAAACAAGGCATATGCTATGGTACCGTATGAGGCTAACCAACATGCCGATCAGCCTTAGGAGGGAATCGTGGAAGTTGAGTCCGAGGGTTACTATACCGACGAGACGTAGGGGTTCCTGGGTATTACGGAAGTCGACCTATTCCATCGTTCAATAAGTGTTTGCCGTTGCTTTGATATTAACTTCCTTTGAAGTTTGAATTATGTTTTCTATCTTGTTTCGTACTAGTGTTTCATGTTTTCATAGTATTTGTATTTCTATTATAAATTTGGTGAAATTAATCCAACAAGTCCATAAGTTTGACAACAATATTCGTAAATGCCGACAGTTAAATTTGTTATGAGGTGAGCAGAAATACAGTTTCAAACAACCGTACAATTCAGCACATATAATAAAATACAAATTTATTGCAAACTGCACGAACAAAATAGTCATTTACTAACAAAATCGGAAAAAAATGGGTGATTATCCCGTTTGTTCATTGCAAAAAAATGGATTACCGGAGCACCCACGGAACGTGCTTGAGCATGGGTGGTTGGATTTTGAAAAATCAAAAAACTTCGTACTGTAAGAAATGAAAACCAAAAATCCGTGCTTGAGCATGGGTGGTTGGAATTTGAAAAATCAAAAAACTTCGTACTGTAAGAAATGAAAACCAAAAAAATTCTTACTGTAAGAAATGGGGTGGAATGCGAATTATGTGAAGGAATTTGGGTAGGTATTATATTAATATAAATAGAAGTAAGGGTGTCTGAGTAATTTGCTACACAACAATAATGAATCCAGCAAACCATATGTGGGATACACATCAACGGATGTAATCCTAGATGACCGGATCCGACGAACCAATTGCGAAATTGCATCCACTAATCCCGAATCCACACAGTGTAATTAGAAAGTGGGACTTTAATCCCATCCCAACCCATCACCCCAACCAAAAGAGCTCTTAATGTAACAATCCCATTATCATTCTCAATCGAGGCTTTTACAGCCTATATTACACTGGCCATTGGACACAATTAAATAGTTTCCAAGTGTTACACAATTTGCGTCGAAAATATAACAATGTATTATCCAATTCTTCTCTTACATATATATAAACTCCAACATAGTAGTTAACACTATGTGATATTCTTGAAACAACAAATTGAATTGTCATATATGGATCTATATAGCACCATCAATTGAATGTTCCAGCCCAACGTATGCTGATAAAGACGACGAAAGTCCATTGCCTGATATCGATGGAGAAAAGAGGAATGGCTTTGGTGGAATTTCTATGGACCGTAGACTTCCTTCTAACATCTCGACAACCTTAGACATAGATGGCCTATCCGATGGTGATGTCTGAATGCACCAAAATCCAATCAAAAACATTTTCCTTGATGTTTCTTCTTCCTCTTTGATCACGAGATCACCTAATTTCATTTTAGCATCAAGTATCACTTGCTCATACAGTTTGTCAGGAAAATAGTTATCACTCATTTGATCAGTTGTCTCGATTTCGTCAAATTTTCTCGCTCCAGCCATTTCAAGAACCATCATTCCATAGCTATAAACATCAGATTTATGAGAAGCTCTTCCGAAATTCCTGGAGAATATTTCTGGAGCGATGTACCCGATTGTGCCTCTTGCTCCAAGCATTGATATTATACTTTGCTTGTTCTTGAACAGTTTAGCAAGCCCAAAATCGGATATCTTGGGATAGAAGTCCTCGTCTAAAAGAATGTTCTGAGGCTTAATGTCGAAATGAACAATACTAGTATTGCACCCGGTGTGCAGATATTCCAAACCTTTGGCAACTCCAACTGCAATCTTGTACAATTTGTCCAAACCCAAGGGGTAATTTGTATTATCAACTGACCCATTACTGTTGATCAAGAACTTGTCTAATGATTTGTTTGGCATAAATTCATAGACAATAGCTCTTTTATTTCGTTTATAACAAAATCCCAAGAGATTGACAATATTGACATGGGAGGTTCTACTAATGCTAGCAACTTCATTTATGAATTCTTCTCCATTGCTATCGGTCTCGATCAAAACCTTGACAGCAACAAGTGTTCCATCAGTTAATACACCTTTGTAGACACTACCATATCCTCCTCGACCAAGTTTCTCATTGAAGGATTTGGTCATTTTCTTGATCTCTGAATATTTGTATCTCTTTAGAGCCAATGATCCATGTTGGAGTACAAACTTTTCCATATCATCGTCCCTTACCTGCTTAGGGTTTCCTAGTGATCGTCGTCTTTTAAAGTAGCAGAATACACCAAGTATAGTCAAGGCAATTACACCAAGTACAGCACCTGGTACATATATAGACACTTTTAATTATAAAATTTATATGTAATATACAAAATTATTTATGAAGTTATTATATACTTGAAATATTGTTGCTTTCATGTATATGAGATTAGCTTACATAAGTTTTACGAGGTGAATTTTCTCAAAACTAAAATTTGAATAACTAGTATCATATTCAAGTCAAATCCATTAAAGTCTATTTGATTTTAGTGTGAGAAATTGTCCATCAGGCAATCGTGTCTATCACCTCCAGTTGACAAGTAAATATCTATATATGTTAAGAGTAATCAGATTCATTGAATAAGCCACCGCGGACACACGTTAAGAAGCTAACACCAACGTTCCAAAAGGGGGCGCAAAATTTCAAAACCTTTCAACGTATGTTCGGGAATGATCTCTTAATATATCCATACTATCATACTCATACAATTATATCTATTCTTCAAATATCGCAGTCACATGGAATGCGAATTGCACAGGAGCGGACCTAGGGGCTTTTTGGTGGGGCTAAAATATGAACGTGAATTAAGAGAAGGAAAAAAAAATATTTTTTATCGGCTAAAAGTATACAAAATTTAAATCTTGGAGGGGGGACAAAGTCTATAAATTAATACATAATTACCAAACTAGAATAAATAAAAAGTAATAGAAAATAGGTAAAAAAAAAATAAGAAAAAAAAAATTATGCAGTGGTGGGAGCCCCCCATTCTCCACATGGGTGCGCCCCTGGAATTGCATACTCTAATTTCACCAATATTTTGATTCTTGTTTATTAGAAAAACCACGGAAAAAACAAGAAATGATATTGCATAATTGATTGAAGTAAAAAGAAATAGTATACGTACCCAGGGCCAGGGGTAATATTGGTATCTTAGTAGGTGAGGAGGTGTCCTTAGTAGGTGAGGAGGTGTCCTTAGTAGGTGAGGAGGTGTCATTGCCGTTGGGCAAGGGAGGTGGGGTCCCAATAATTTCAGAGATGCGACAAGTATTAGAAACATACGGCGAGTTAGGGCAATAACAAGTAGTCTTGTTATTCTCAAGATCATACCCACACCGCCCCTTTGACGCCGTACAATTATCGCACATTAATTGGCTACCGATCGTCCACCTAACCAAAAAACCCTGCCGCATAATCCGATCCAATTCCGTTATATTCGGAAGATGTGTTGCTCCTTCAGGAGGCACAGGCGCTGGAACTACCACACTATCTCTACACATTCCGGGGCCATAAGTTCCAGGCGTAATATATACCTCTTCGCCATTATTCCCACAAGGAACGGAGAAATTAGAATCAGTGGAGAAACCACCTCTAACAGGTGGTGGGCATCCGTAGAAGAATGTGATATTCAGGTAAACAGCGCCAAAGTCAAAGGTCGAGTAGTCCAATGTTGTGTTCTTCATTTCCGTGGGGCAGGTTTCCTCCATTATATCCTCCCTGGCAATAGTCATTGTCTGTGTGGATTGTGCTATTTCCAGGACACGGTACTCCACGCCCATGATTTCGATGTTGGTTATGTTGTTTTTACCATTATGGCATGTGAGGACAAAATTTGGGTGGCCGCAGTGTTCAGGGTCGGAGATTCCCCTAAAAGGGTAACCGATTTCGGTGATGTTTTCGCCGCAACTAAATGTTTTGTCGCAGCTCTGGTACATGTCTTCGGGCCCACTCAATCCATTTCGGGCTTGGAGAATAATCAAGAATTTGATGGTTAATATGAGATGGAGGAACGAGAACCAGGGAATATTCGTTTTGGTATACATTTTTTGAAGGAAAAAAAAAAAGCGAGGATCAAAGAAACAATGTAGTTCGTTGATCGGTTGTACAGAAGATTAAGTAAGGATGTAATTGACTAAGTGGTGTGGTTGAGGGGAACCTTGATGAAGATAATACATACAATACAATATAGTTTACTTTGCTAACTGATCAATCATGGAAGTTGACAAATGATTTCAAGAAAGCGACAGATAAATAAAGAAACAAGAGTTGGAGAAACTTTCTTGAGAAATTGTCTATGTGACAGTACAATCTGTGGACTAAGTATAAAGAAGGTACATAAATATATTCCCTCTATTTTGTTTTTCTATTTGTACGGAATCCCTCGTTAATTAACGTTGTTGAGTTATTCGAGTGGATTTTGTTTTCTTGAACACATGGAGAATTGGTGTAGATTTTTTGTAACACAAGAAAATTTTATGTGGTTTATCCAAACATTATATAATTTAGGGGAAACTACAGTTTGCACCCCTGAACTATAGGGTCTTTCAAAAACACACTTGAACTACAAAACATAACAAAATGGCCCCCGCCGTTTTGAATCTGTTAGTGGATGATGACGTGGTGCATTGAATTTATTGTTTTCTATACATTTTTATACCCGTTGGAACCATTTCTATTTATATATATATGTGTGTGTGTGTGTGTGTTTGTGTGGGTTAAAGAGGTTTTCAACAACTTTTTTCTTCATTTTTTTAGTAAATTTCTTCATTTTCCATTATTTTCACCTGTGGAATTTTTTCCCCTATTTTTTCCTTCTTATAAATCACGCTAATATCCCTTCTTCTCTTTGTCAAGTATTGAAAATGTCGAGTAATAGCTCAAATTCACAAGATTATTGTCATTCATGTCACAAACATATTCGAAACTCCCCCATAGTTAATCCTAAGTGTATACAGTTGATCATCCAACATGTTTTCCTACAAAAAAAAGAAAAAAAAAATTAATCAAATGCACAAACGATGAAGAAAAAAACTCCAAAATTAAATCTTAATACCAAAATAAAGAAATCCCCATAAAAAATCATAATATTTATGGAAATTATTTTGGTAAATACTAAATTACTAACAAAAATCCAAAAATTAAATCTTAAGACCAAATCAAATTAATTCCCCAAAAATTCGAAAAAAGATTTCAGAAAACCTAATTTTCTCAAAATCGTGCATCAATTTTGTGAAAACCTAATTTACCATCGAAATGGACAACATAAACACCATAAACACAAGAAATTTGTTTCTAAAACAAACCCCTGACATAACTACGAAAAAAGAGAGGGGGAATTGACCAAGTCGCGATTTGCAGTTGAAAGCGCTAAAGGCAACACTAACCTTTGTCTCTCTTCAGATTCTTGATTTTTTGCCTCCGAATTTTTTCAGACGTCTTGAGACATCAAAACTTTCAATTGATTTAAACCAAGGAAGAAATCAGATTTTTGGAAAATTTTGTTTTTACGTTCTTAGAGTGAAGGTGAAACGTTTTTTTGTCTAAGTAAGAAGAGGAATGAGAAGTCTGTATTGTTTGCACACAATAAAGACCATGTTAGAGTTACAGGGGTGGATAAGTAATTACACTCTTAAATTAACGGTGTTAAGTTTTTAACGTTTGACCAAAAAACAGAGGGGTCATTTTGTTACGTTTTGTAGTTCATGGAGGTGTTTGTGATAGATCCCATAGTTCAGGGGTGCAAACTGTAGTTTCCCCTATAATTTGTTGCCCTATACTCTCCCATCCCATGCATCTAATGCAGTAGAATCTTCTTAGCTTCCTATGAACTTCAAAAATATAATCATTGTTTCAACATTTTATATTATAAATGTAATTATCGAAAAATAATCGAAACTTCAGGAAATATTTTTGTCAAGTATTGAAAATGTCGAGTAATAGCTCAAATTCACAAGATTATTGTCATTCATGTCACAAACATTTTCGAAACTCCCCCATAGTTAATCCTAAGTGTATACAGGTGATAATCCAAAATGTTTTCCTACAAAAAAAGAAAAAAAAAATTAATCAAATGCACATAAGATGAAGAAAAAAAACTCCAAAATTAAATTTTAATACCAAAATAAAGAAATCCCCATAAAAAATCATAATATTTATGGAAATTGTTCCGGTAAATACTAAATTACCAACAAAAATCAAAAAATTAAATCTTAGGACAAAATCAAATTAATTCCCCAAAAATTCGAAAAAGATTTCAGAAAACCTAATTTTCTCAAAATCGTGCATTAATTTTGTGAAAACCTAATTTACCATCGAAACGGACAACATAAACTCCATAAACACAAGAAATTTGTTTCTAAAACAAACCCCTGACATAACTACGAAAAAAGAGAGGGTGAATTGACCAAGTCGCAATTTGCAGTTGAAAGCCCTAAAAGCAACACTAACCTTTGTCTCTCTTCAGATTTCTAGATTTTTTTGCCTCCGAATTTCTTCAGACGTCTTGAGACATCAAAACTTGTAATTGATTTAAACCATGGAAGAAATCAGATTTTTGGAAAATTTCGTTTACATTCTTAGAGTGAAGGAGAAACGTTTTTTTTTGTCTAAGTAAGAAGAGGAATGAGAAGTAACACAATACATACCATGTTAGAGTTACGTTACAGGGGTGGATAAGTAATTACACTCTTAAATTAACGGTGTTAATTGTTCAATGTTTGACCAAAAACGGAAGGGCCATTTTTTTACGTTTTGTAGTTAAGGGAGGTGTCATGTGACAGATCCCATAGTTCAGGGTTGCAAACTGTAGTTTCCCCTACAATTTATTGCCCTATACTCTCCCATGCATCTAATGCAGTAGAATCTTCTTAGACTTCCTATGAACTTCAAAAATATAATCATTGTTTCAACAATTTATATTATAAATGTAATTATCGAAAATAATCGAAACTTCAGGAAATATTTTTGGGAATTAAAAACGGATTGAAAATCTGAGGCTCGTCATATATACACCAGTTCCGATTTAAAAAAACTTGGAAAATCGATAATCGGAATTTTCGGAATTCGGAATGAAATATGTTATTTTAAAGCCAGCAATTTTCAGACGGAAATCGGCGGGAAATACATTCCAATATCCAATCAGTGTGACGATCTCATCACCATTCTAAATTGAGGCCTTTATTGACTATATTACCCTGGATCACGGCATATAATTAAATATTTTCCACGAGTTACATACATGATTTGCGTTGAAAATATCATGATATTGATGGAACAAAGTTATGTTGAATTCTTCTCTTACATATATATAAACTCCAACATAGTAGCCATGAATATTTGATTTTCTCGAAACAACACATTGAATTCTAATTATATCTATATAGGACCATCAACGGAATGTTCCGGCCCGACGTATGTTGATAACGACGACGAAATTCCATTGTCTGGTATTGTAGGAGAAAAGAGGAATGGTTTAGGTGGAATTTGTATAGATCGTAGACTTCCTTCTAACATTTCAACAACCTTAGATATCGGTGGCCTATCCGATGGAGATGTCTGAATGCACCAAAATCCGATCAAAAACATTTTCCTTGCTACTTCTTTTTGTCGCCCCAACCATTTCAAGAATCATCATTCCGTAGCTATAGACATCAGATTTATGAGAAGCTCCTCCAAAATTTCTTGAGAATATTTCTGGAGCGATATATCCGATTGTGCCTCGTGCCCCGATTACCGATAATATACTCTGCTTCTTCTTGCAAAGCTTAGCAAGCCCAAAATCAGATATCTTCGGAGAGAAATCATCGTCTAACAGAATGTTCTGAGGCTTAATATCGAAATGAACAATCCTAGTGTTGCACCCTGTGTGGAGATATTGTAGGCCTTTGGCAACTCCAACCGCAATCTCGTATAGTTTGTCCATCCAAACAATTATTGTTGTTGATGAACTTGTCAATATTAAAATATCGTCGTCATGAGTCAAGCTACCCACTAATTAATAATGATCTCTTGATTGATACTCATATATTTTGCCTAGATTTAATAATGCAACGTGACAACCATAAAGAGCAAACTAACTGCATGCTCAAATTTCACCAAGATCTTGATTCTCGATCATTATGGATTTGTTTGGTTAATGAATTTTGAAATGAGGAAAATGAAAATGTAAAAGCAAACGAAAACAAAGAATTTGAAAATCTCTAGCATGTTTAGTTACTGATGAAAATGGTGATGAAATTGATTTTGTGGAAAATTGTTTTGTTTGTTGAGGTTATGTCTCATGATTAGATACGAAAGGGTAAACAACGTAAACCCCCTCGTGTTAAGTCAAATCTGCACCAAATTCCCCTGTGTTCTTTTAAACATCCACCATATACCTATTAAACTTCTATATTTCATAAAGTAACTGAATATATGCGTTCGACTTAATTTAAGAAAATAATATAAATTTTAAACGAATAAATTAATTTTGCATAAAATCCTCTTTTAATTTATTGTCGAAAATATCCACCAAATCCCCCTCAGTTATGAAATAAATTGCATAATAATATCCCCTAAATAGTTAACGGCATTAACTTTCAATGGAAAAGGGAATATCCCTGCAAAGTAAAATGAAACACAAGGGGTTCTACGCAAGAATTAACTACATGGGGATTTGGCGCAGGTTTCCCTTAACATGGGGGTGTTTTATGTTGTTTACCGAGATATGAATGGAATCAAAATTGAACAATACCAAACATGAAATCTAATTTATCTAGTTCTTTCATCTTTTTACCAGCTAGCATTTTCTTTGATCCAAAAATAGCCTACAATAAAATCTAGAAAACAGTCTAGGGGCCATACTTTTACCAATATCCTAAAAGCAAAAATTCAAGATTTTAAGGAAGTTAAGAAAACTAGTTTACGTACCTATGGATATTAGTGTCTTGGGAGGTGAGGTCTTATTGCCCTTGGACAAGGAAGGTGGAGTCACATAATCAGACAAAGGGCAAGAAGTATTAGGAACATGCGGCGTATCAGAGCCAGGGTAAACTGCATAAATCCCCCCTGTGTTATGGGAAACATGCACCAAACCCCCCTGTGTTACTTTTATCTTGCACGAAATCCCCCGTTCTGTTAACATTTAATTTTTTAACACCGTTAACTATTTAGGGGATTCTATGCAAGCTTTTCAAAACACAAGGGGGTTTGGTGCATATTTTCATCAATATATGGAGAATTTATGCAAAAATATTTTATTTATTTAAAATTTGATTTTTTTTAAATTGATTCAAACACGTATATTCAATTGCAATATAAAAAATTAAAACTAGTGGTAAGGATGAAATTTCTAACAAGTTTTTTTTTTCTTGTAATTTTGCGGTTTCCAATTTAATTTTTTAAATTTTAGAACATTGTTTTTCTTATTTGGATTTCCAAAATTTGATTCCATTTCTCTTAAAAAAAGAATTCCATCAAAACTGAAACTAAATAATATTTTTTTGGAAATTTCCAATTTTGAATTAAAAAAGTATTTATCAATGTATTTTATAAAAAATAAAATTATATACTTAGAATATCATTATTGTTATATATTTGTATAATTTATCTTGGATGTATTATATGTCAATGATTATAAATAATATGAAAATTCGAATTTAGTTTTGATATAAATAATTATATCAATAATTTTGAGAATTCGACTTTCAAAAATTGAATAAATGTATTTGACTTAATTTCAAAAAAATAATTCAACTTTTAAATAAATAAATAAATTTTACATAAATTCCACTTGTATTTTAAATAACATGCACCAAACCCCCTTGTGTTATGAAAAACTTGCATGAAATCCCCTAAATAGTTAACGGTGTTAAATGTTAACGGGATTGGGGATTTCGTGCAAGATAAAATAAAACAATTGGGGATTTCGTGCAAGATAAAATAAAACACAGGGGGATTCTACGCAATAAAATTAACACAAGGGGATTTGGTGCATGTTTTACATAACACAGGGGGTTTTATGCAGTTTACCCATCAAAGCCACCGCAATAACAAACCGTCTCCTTCGTCGTTAAACTATACTCGCACCTCCTCCGTGATCCAGTACAACCAACGCATGTTTGACTACCATACTTTGTAACGGAATTACCCGTTTTTCAATATTCTTTTATTATGTTTCAAACGACGCCGTTTTAATTTATTAAAACGCGTCCGCGCTTTTCAATTTTATTACGTTTTATTTAAATAAGAGGGGGAGGCAGACGACGTCGTTTAAGGAGCAGCATGGGCAGCATCACATGCACACTGCATGTTCTGAGCTGAGGAGAAAGAGCCGTTGCTTTATTTCTATAAATGGGCAGACACACACAGGGAGTTGGCAAGCATTATCAGTACTCTAGTCTAGCTTAGTTAATGTAGAGATAAGGTAGAATAGAGGTTACTTTGTCCCCAAGTTTGTTCTTATTTTCTTCAAACTGTAAACCCTAATTTGCACTTTGGAATGAACTAATCTTTTCAGCCGATATTCCCATATTAAATTCGAAAGTTTATTTGTTTATTGAGGAGATTCGTGACATTTGGTATCTAGAGCAGTCTTTCCTGGATCTGCCTCTCATTCATGATGACGAGGAGCCATGTTAGAACTGGATCGAGTGAAAACACGAGGACAGAAGCAGAGGTGTTTGTGGATGAGCAGATGACTTTCAACATGAAGATGCAAGCAGATATGACGGGGCTGAGGGAAGAGATGGAGAGAAATAGACTTGAAACCAGCCAGAGGATGGAAGATATACAGTGGTTAATGAGTGAAGTGGTCAGATCTATGAGTGGGAGCAAAGGGAAGGAACCAATGGCCCATGGAAATACCTCAGAGAATCCAGTGAGGAATCCAGAGAATGCTCCACCAGGATTTCACCAAATACCACAAGAAGGAGGTAACATTAACATCCCTTTGAGAAATACTGATTTGAGGAATGTTAAGGTGGACTTTCCAAAGTTTGATGGTCAGTTCCCTAGAACGTGGTTAAGAAGATGCCACAGGTGCATCTAGCATCAATGAATTTAGAAGGGAAAGTGGATGATTGGTTCTCTGACTATATAGAAGGGCTGGAGTATGTGGGATGGGAAGCTTTCTCAAATATGGTTTTGGAGAGGTTCATGGAGGAAGAAGGGGTCTGTTTGGTGGCAGAGTTTAACAAACTACATCAAGAGACTACTGTTGAAGAGTACAGGTTGAAGTTTGAGCAACTCAAGGCTTTTATGGTAAGGAAACATAGGACCTTGCCAGAAAGCTATTATGTGGAGTGTTTTGTAGAAGGATTAGAAGGGGAGTTGAAAAATATGGTCAAGATGATGAGACCACAGACCCTTGCCCATGCCATCATTCAAGCTAAACTACAAGAGAACATAGTGGATCAGCTGAAAGTGGAAATTAGAACCTCAGTGAGGAGTGCAACAAACAGTCAGAGGGTTCCAAGATTGTCTCAGCCTGAACAACCCTTGAGGATTCAATACCCAGAGAAATGAGCAATGTTGCCAAAGAGGTTAAATAAGCAGGAACTGGAGGAAAGAAGGAGGAGAGGACTTTGCTACAACTGTGATGAAAAATTTACACCTGGGCACAAGTGTAAAAAGTTTTTCTACATTGAGTATGAAGCAGATCCAGATGAAGAGTCACATGGGGAGAATGAAGTATTGGAAGAAGTAGTGGAGGAGATTATGCAAATATCTTTTCAAGCCATAACTGGTCAATCAACTCACACCACAATTAAAGTAGCTGGCAAATGCAAAGGGAGGTTGATCACCATTTTGTTAGATACAGGAGCATCTCATAGCTTCTTAGACCCCAAATCTGCTATCCAGATGAATTGTGAAAGAGTATACACCAAGAAGATGAAAGTGAAGGTTGCTGGCAAGCAACAATCGAGAAACTCGTCATCCGCACCACCACCAACCATGAATCATTCTTCAACCACTTTAATTATTTCCGATGCAAGGCCTCCGCCGTTATGGGGTGCTGGACTGCCGCTTGAGGGAAAAAAAAAAGGAGCGACGGCGGCAACGGACGAACAAAGATCGCAAGGTGACCGGTGGAGAGAGATGAAAGGGAGGCGGCTGCAATGGAGAATGTAGAGAAGGGGCTGGGGCGATAGAGAAGAGAATGCGTGGGAGAAATCAAAACGTGGGCATAGGGTTTGATAGTGTGGGTGGAAATTATAAATTAATATTAAATAAAATGTTATGTTAAATAGGACGAAGGGCATAATCGTGAAACTATATTAATTAAAAAGGTTCTGGATTTAACTTAAAAGTAATAATTTTTTTGGACTAATTGTAATTGGAGGAGGCTAATAAGGGGGTTTTGTCAAATAATCCCTAAAATAAAAGGGTATTTTAATATTAGCTCAGTAATGGGTACTTATTCATAAAGGGGTTCAGACAAAAGAATCTTTTAAAAAAAGTCCACACATTGTCCAGAGATTTGTAAAGACTAAAATAGCCCATCGCATTTTAATATGCTCCAATTTCATCCTTTAATTTAATCTAACCTCAATTTGACCGTAAATTTCATAAATTATTCAATTTTGACAAAAAACACAATTTTATGGACAATTTCGTCCGTCGCCGCCGTTGATTTTTTTTTCTTCCTGTTTTTCCTGTCGGTTTTCAGCGTTGACTTTTTTTTAAAACATCTTTTTGCCCCCCGTTTAGACAGCAATCTTGTTGTGGTTGACAATTGTATTAGCTATATTACTGTTAAACACTTTAATAATAACTATACTACAGTTTAACATAGTATTATTGCTATATTAATCTCTAACACAGTAATATTAACACATCAAAGTTATTATTATTTTGTAATATAGTAATATTAATATGTTGACCGTTCAACAAAGGTAAACATAATAAAAAGCCAACAAAATTAATATTGATGTGGTTCACATTAATATTACCGTAACAACAATAATATTACAGTCAACCACAACAATATTATTGTGTTTACAGTAATATTACAATAGTAGACAGCAATATTATTACGTTACTCCGTCAACAACTCAAACAAAAACCAAAGACAAAAAACCCCAAAACATAATAATATTTATGTAGTTGATAGTAATATTATTGTGTTTACAGTTATTTTATTGTCAACGACAGTAATATAATTACGCTGACTTGTCAACAAATCAAACAAAATTGAAAAAAAAAACTCAAAAAAATAATAATATTGTCGTTGACTCTAATTTTCTTGTCAACGAGAATACAATTACATAAATGTATTGTCAACGACAGTACAATTACGTTAATGTACTGTCAACGACAATATAATTACGTTAATGTATTGTTAGTGACAATATAATTATTATTAATGACAGTACAATTAGGGTCAATGTTTAGCGACGGGGGTTAAAAAACGGATAAAACTTTTAGAAGAAAAAAAAAATAATCACTAAAAATATCAACGCCGGAGATCGGCGTCGGAAACTGGCGGCGGGAAAAAAAATCGAAAAAGTCAATGCCGGAGACTGGCGGCGAAAAAGTAATTTCAAGAAAAAAAAGGTCAAAATTGAATTTTTGTGGTCAAAATTTATTCAATTGGGGTTACAATTAAGAATATAGTGTAAATAATTGGGGGTAATTTTGTCATATACATTAATTTTTCATTTATTTATAATATATACTAAAGAGATTGGCTTATTGACAAAAGAGATATAACAGATAATCTAGAATAATAAAGGTGGTTGGTCATAGATTTATGCAAAAAAAATCCCAAAATAAAATGTGTCTCTCGTCTTTTCATGTGTTATTTATCTTTTATTTTTAAAAGTAGAATTTTTTAGTAAGAGTTTTAACATAGTAAATCTTTAGTAAAATGATGTAAGAGTTTAAATTACCAGTGAAAAATTTAAAATATATTTCCGTTTTTAATTTAAGACAAAAAAGCATGATGATGACAAAAGAGTCCCTGAGTAATACCAAATGGACTAAATGCCTATTCAGTAAATTCATCCTCATGAATAAAAAACGTATAAAATAATAGACCTAATTAAAGCAATAGGTGCAATCAGAATGGCAATGTAAAAAAAGTATTAATATTAATATTGCTACTTTGTAATTAATGTTGTGTAGTTTAATGTCATTATTAAATAAATATTATTATTAACATTGCTACTTTGTAATGTTGTGTCGTTTAATGTCATTAGTAACATTAATATATTTAACAAAGTTATTTAATTGACCCTCAAATGCGATTTTTAGTATTATTTTGCAGGGGTAATTTTGTAAGAACAAAAAAGGGAAGAAACCTTCAATTTATTCACACTTTTATAAGTAAAAAAAAAGTATAGATTGATGTTATTTTAGAGGACTGGATCTCGTGCAAGTTTTGTTTAACACATGGAAATTTATGCAAACACTAATGATATATTCATTTAAAACTCAAAGTTCACTCGAAAATCAAGTCAAGTCGTTGTGCGGAATACACGCACGAAACATATTTGACCATTGGGTTTTGGTGCAATAAAAATGGGATTAAAAATACTGTTAGCACCCCAGTACTATGATCACTGTCGCATGCGCATATACCCCTTGTACTATGAAATGTAACAAAACAACCCCTGCCGTCCATCTCTATTACAAAAGTTGTCATTTTAAATTATTGACTGACCGTTGAACTAGCCGTTGGAGAATTTCAGACCAAAATACCCCTTTGATTGTGTATAAAAGGCGTGCATCATTCTTCACTCATTTATACTAAATTTCTTCATAATTTTCGTTCCCAACCCTTTTTTAACCCAAAATTTCTAAACAAATTTTATATTCTAGAAATTATTTTCAATTTCTTTTTTAGATTTATAAATAATTACTTGGTTTAAAAATGTCTTCAAGTGGTTCAAATTCTCAAAATTCATGTTTTAGATTCAAACACTACATGTCATATTTTTCTGGAACCACTTTTGTTCTGTTGTACGTGTTCGAATATTTTTTACCCAACTTACAAAATAAAAAAAATGCCTATTTCTATCAAATAAAAGTAAGGTTAAAAAAGTAACTACACTGCAAAACTAACGCCGTTAGAGATGCGAGAGTGATAATAGTACATGGGCAAACTGTATTTAACCCAGAAGAATATAATAGAGAGTGTTTTACACAATAAATTAGTGCATTTAAGTTAGTTAGATATCTCCAACCATTTTTCAAACTAGTTTTCCAACTTTTCAGATTTTCTTGTGTCTTCAATTATGCTGAAAATGACAGAGAAATTTGTTTTCCCTGGTAGAATAGGGGCACCCAGTTTTGAACCATTTCATTACAAGAAGGGATCAATGTACTAAGAGAACACAGTCAGAATAATGAATACATGTTCACCACTCGAAGGTATATATATATGTCTAAGACTTCAACATATATTCACTCCTAATAAGTTTGATACATTCAAATTGTAAATTTACAACTCAGTTATTTAAAGAGTTTGGAACATCCATCCAAATTAAAAAAAATTAGGAGACAATTCAAAATAATAAGTGATGGGCAAATTACCAAAACCCCCCTGAGGTAAGCCTAAATAATGAAAATCCCCCCCATGTTCTCGTAATTACGAAAACCCCCCTGAGGTATGCAGACGTCTTACAAATCGCTCTAACGGTGTTAGACTCGATAGAATCTTTTTGATTCTCCCGAATATTCCTCCGATAATACCAATTTTGCCCTTGTACACGAAATTACCCTTAGGGGGGTAATTGTAAGCATTTTATTTAATGAGGGGTCATTATGAATGTACAAAATACTTATTTTTCTTAAATTAAACCCAAATATAATCAATCATTATGAATGTACAATGTATTTTTATTGGATTAAAAAAAATCAATGAATGAGATTTCAAAATTTAATTATTTTTTATATATAAAATTAAATATTTTAAAATTCGAGAAATACAACCATGCATCATTCACGCTAAAAGCATAAATCCGTATGAATACTCCTCTGGATAAATAAAATCAATTAAAATATATAAATAAAAAAATATATAAGTGTCTGCAAAATACTTATTTTTCTTAAATTAAACCCAAATATAATCAATCATTATGAATGTACAATGTATTTTTATTGGATTAAAAAAATCAATGAATGAGATTTCAAAATTTAATTATTTTTTATATATAAAATTAAATATTTTACAATTCGAGAAATACAACCATGCATCATTCAAGCTAAAAGCATAAATCCGTATGAATACTCCTCTGGATAAATAAAATCAATTAAAATATATAAATAAAAAAAATAAAAAATTATAATATCAAATTATCAATACAAATTACAAAGTAATAAATAAATTTATAAAAGCAATAAATCATCAACTGAAAGGGATGTCAGGGGGGATTTTCGTTATTTAGGCTTACCTCAGGGGGGTTTTGGTAATTTGCCCTTTATTTTTTACATATTTAACAGAAGGATATAATAGACATTTCACGTTTTCGGTTAAAAAAATTCGGTCAACCGTTAGTCAAGGGGGGTTTTCGTAATTACGAGAACATGGGGGGAATTTTCGTTATTTAGGCTTACCTCAGGGGGGTTTTGGTAATTTGCCCATAAGTGATTCTAAAAATATTTAGAATACTTTTCAAATGCTACTTGCTAGAACGTGCGAAGATGCAGAAAACGCAATGATGTATTCAAACTTAATCTCCATTGAGTCTGCGCCACTTGGACGAAAACTATATTGCTTCTTCTAGAAAGTTCCAAATGATGTACCGTTTGAAGCATCGAAAACTAGCCAGGCAAGGCTTTCCAACCATATCATGATATCAGTGGAACATGGTATTATTTAATTCTCCTTGTACATACATTTAAACTCGAACACAATTTACAAAAATAATAATAATAATAACACCCAAACATGGTATTAATATGTGACGTTCTCTAAACAACACATTGAATTGGATATCTATATAGGACCATTTGTTGAAAGTCCCTCCCCGTCGTATGTTGATAACGAGGACAATATTCCATTGCCTGATACAGTAGGAGAAAAGAGGAACGGCTTTGGTGGAATTTGTATGGATTTAAGACTTCCTTCTAACATCTCGACAACCTTAGACATCGATGGCCTATCCGATGGTGATGTCTGAATGCACCAAAATCCGATCAAAAACATTTTCCTTGATGTTTCTTCTTCCTCTTTAATCACGAGATCACCTAATTTCATTTTAGCATCAAGTATCACTTGCTCATACAGTTTGTCAGGAAAATAGTTATCACTCATTTGATCAGTTGTCTCGATTTCGTCAAATTTTCTCGCTCCAGCCATTTCAAGAACCATCATTCCATAGCTATAAACATCAGATTTATGAGAAGCTCTTCCGAAATTCCTGGAGAATATTTCTGGAGCGATGTACCCGATTGTGCCTCTTGCTCCAAGCATTGATATTATACTTTGCTTGTTCTTGAACAGTTTAGCAAGCCCAAAATCGGATATCTTGGGATAGAAGTCCTCGTCTAAAAGAATGTTCTGAGGCTTAATGTCGAAATGAACAATACTAGTATTGCACCCGGTGTGCAGATATTCCAAACCTTTGGCAACTCCAATTGCAATCTTGTACAATTTGTCCAAATCCAAGGGACAATTTGTACTATCAACTGATCCATTACTATTGATCAAGAACTTGTCCAATGATTTGTTGGGCATAAATTCATAGACTATAGCTCTCTTGTTTCGAGTATTACAAAACCCCAAAAGATTGACAATATTGACATGGGAGGTTCTGCTAATGCTAGCAACTTCATTTATGAATTCTTCTCCATTGCTATCGGTCTCGACCAAAACCTTGACAGCAACAAGGGATCCATCGGGTAATACACCTTTGTAGACACTACCATATCCTCCTCGACCAAGCTTCTCATTGAAGGATTTGGTCATTTTCTTGATCTCGGAATATTTGTATCGCTTTAGAGCTAGTGATCCATGCTGGAGTTCAAACTTTTCCATATCTTTGTTGCTTACCTTTTGGCTTCCGAGTGAACGTCGTCTTCTAAGGTAGCAGAATACTATGATAATGGCCAACATAGTTAAGGTAGTTACACTAAGTACAGTACCTGCAAATAGACAGGGTATGGTATAGGAGACAAGTTATATAAGCAGCTACATTGTCAAATTACTGTGACGGATCAAACTCCTTTACCTTAGTTTCAAATGAAACTTGTGCAGCTGTAACTTCTCACTAGTTACATCTACTTCAAAAAGTTTAAAATCTCCATTGAGTTTAAGGCATGCCTAAATTACAAAATCTCTTTTTTATTTGTAAAACTACTAATGATAGTTCAAATTCTGTAAGATCTAAAAATTGGACTCATACGTATAAATCTTGTTGTTTAAAGTTATATAAGATGACCCTTTTAATGGAAACGAAATTGAATGTCAAAATTAGAAAAATAATAAATAACAGTGCACCATTTAGAAATTGGCAATATTTAATTTATACTATCTAAAAAATTACAATTTACCCCCTAGGAGAACAATCCTTATTACAATTAGCAATTAGACTTCCGATAGTAGAAACGCAAAATTTGAATATTCAAAGGAATATTTTTGAAATTTAATAGATTGTTTTATTATTGAAGTCATAAGGGGTAAATGTAATTATACAAACTAGATGGGTGTTTCTGTAACTTGGCATAACCTCATGGGGGTGTTCGTAATTTACCCATGATAGAATAATCATAATGATCTCTTGATTTGCCTCGATCTAATATTGGAATCGGGAATTTAGATGCTACATTTGGTTATTTACATTGAGCAGATTTGAACCGTTGATTTACACATAATCAGACACATCCAACACCCCATTGGAATCTAGCAGTCATAATTAAAACGCGAATTGCATGCTCAAATAATCACTAAGATCTTGAGTCTTATTTACTAATTAAAAAAAACCTAGAAAACATTCTAGGGCTAGATTATTCTATTACTCTAAAAATAGGAAAAGATATTGAATATTGCAGTTGTGACAATGTAATAGTTAAATGTACCCAGGAAGTTAAAAAGAATAGTATACATACGTACCCAGGATAATTAGTATAGCTGGTGAAGTATCATTGCCTTTGGGCAAGGGAGGTGAGGTCCCATCAGACAATGGGCAAGTATTAGAAATATACGGCGTATCGGAATCAATGCAATAGCAAGCTGTCTTATTCGTCGCATTATTATACCCACACTGTCCCTTGGACGCTGTACAATTACTGCACATCTGGCTGCCAATCTTCCACCTAACCAGAAAGCCCTGCCGCATAATCCGATCCAATTCCGTTATATTCGGAAGTTGTGTTGCTCCTTCAGGAGGCACAGGCGCTGGAACTATCACACTATTATTACATATTCCAGGGCCTTGATTTCCACCCTTAATATATACCCCTTCGCCATTAGTCCCACAAGGAACAGAGTAGTTAGAATCCTTGACAAAACTACCGCCAACATGTGGTGGGCATCCGTACAAGAACGTGATATTCAGGTAAACGGCGGCAAAGTCAAAGGTCGAGTAGTCCAAGGTTGTGTTCTTCATTTCCGTGGGGCATGTGTCCTCCATTATATCCTCCCTGGCAATAGTCATTGTCTGTGTGGTTTGTTCTATTGCCAGGACACGGTATTTCAAGCCCACGATTTCGATGCTGGTTAAATTTTTCTGATAATTGCAGTTCAGGACTAGCTTGGGGTGGCCGCAGTATGGTGGATCGGAGAATCCCCTGAAAGGATATCCGATTCCATTGATTGTGCTGCCGCAGTTGAATGAGTTGGCGCACGAGCTGCTTGATCCATTGAGGGCTCGCGATGTAATTGCGAGTTTTAGAATAAATAGAAGATGGAGGAAATTAAACCAGGAATTTCTTTTGATAATATTCATGTTTTAATTGGAAAAAAAATTAATGTGAGGAGAAACAATGTATAGTTGGTCGATTGTACAGAGGATTAAGGGGCGTAGTTGACTAGGTGGTACGGTTGAGGGGAACCTTGATGAAGATACAAAATGCAATATAGTTTTTGACTTGCTAATTGATCGATCATGGAAGTTGACAAATTATCTCAAGAAAGGGACATATAAATAAATAAAGAAAAAAAATATGGTATTCTAGTTGACATAATAATAGAGTCGGAGAAACTTTCTTAAGTAATTATCCATTTGACCGGCGGTTAGATGTTACACATGGTTATTTATACTGGGTGTGCTTTTCGTAAATGAGATTAAATAACTACCCACTATATGCACATACACGCGGGTATGTGTGATTATGTGTAGGTCTATGGTTCACAGTCACCAGGTGTAAATAACTATGTATAGCATCTAATTTCCCCATGTGACCGTACAATGCGTGGAAGGGATGGGAGTAGACCTGACCACGGTTCGGTTCGGTTCCGGTTCTGCTTCTGAACCGCCGGTTTCGGTTCCGATTTTGGAGGAACCGGAATTGAACCGAAAAAATCCGGTTCATTGCGGTTCGGTTCCTAACCGGCTCCGGTTCGGTTCCCGGTTAGAACCGTAGAACCGTTCGGTTCTTAATAATAATTTTTTAAAGTATTTTTTAAAAAAAATACTTTAAAAAACTTAAAAGAAAAAACTTTTAAAAATAGTTTTTATATATATATATATATATATATATATATATATATATATATATATATATATATATATATATATATATATATATATATATATATATATATATATATATATATATATATATATATATATATATATATATATATATATATATATATATATATATATATATATATGGGGAAATTTGCTAGACACCCCTTATTTTGGACTTATATGACTAGGGATCCTAGTTGTTAGATGAATATAGGTATAGGTCCTTTGACCCAATAAATTAATATAAATAAATTAAAATAATTAGTATATAGACCATAACACCCTCAATTAATAAGAAAACAAATCTTATATATCCTCTCTCTCCAATCTCACGTTATTTTCCGCCTATATAATTCCTCATCTCTCTCCTTCTGCATCTCAATTCTCACGTCTCTCTCTCTCTCTCTCTCTCTCTCTCTCTCTCTCTCTCTCTCGAGCTTCTCTCTTTTTTTTTTTCTTTTTCGTTTTCTTTTTTTTAATGAAGAAATATTATAGAGATGAAAAAAAAACAAGGATCTTAATAGATTATGAGAGGATTTCTTTGTGAAAGAATCAAAGAAGACGACAAACATCCCCTCCCAAAAAAAATCAGAAATAAAAAATCCTAGCCAAATTCGCATTGAGTTTTCCGTATGTAGAACCTCCCATCGTTTGTTGTTAGCAATTTCCGTTTGCAGTTGGTTTAATTTCGTTTGTTGTTTGAAGAATTGCGTTTGATGTTGAGATTCGATTCCTCTGGTTTACAATTTGCAAGGTATGTTTTAAGTTATATTTTACAAACATTTTGTTTAATATTTTTGTTGTTTGCAAATTGTTTTATAAACAATTTTTTGGTTGATGTTTTTAATGATGCTGATTTTTTTTTTTTTTTTCAGTTTGCTGTTTGCGTTTGGCCAAGTCATAGGTAGTTTATTGCTTGCAATTCAATAATGCAAGTTGTGCTGAATATTTTTCTTCAGTTTGCATTTGGCGAAGTCATAGGTAATTTTTTGTTTGTAATTTAGTAATACAAATTATGAATTTTATTTTTTCAGTTTGCTGTTTGCGTTTGGCGAAATCATAGGTATTTTGTTGTTTGCAATTCAATAATATAAAATCTAATTTTCAGTTTGCTATTTGCAGTTCGCGGAGTCATACACGTCGCAGTTTCCGGATCATAGGCGGTGGTGGGGCTGCGGTGACGTTTTTAGAGTATGAGTTTGTAAAATAATTGTATATTTTTGTTATGAATTAATTTATTTGTTTTAGTTAATATTAGGAAGAGAGATGTTTGAGAATTTGTTCTGATAGAGATATTTTTGAGGATTTGGTTTGATTTAATTAAGGGTATTTTTGCCATAATAAATATTATTAATTTATTAAAACATTAAATTTTGACTTGGATTTACACACATAAATTATAACATAAATGGACCTATAGCAAATTGCCCCTATATATATATATATATATATATATATATATATATATAGAGAGAGAGAGAGAGAGAGAGAGAGAGAGAGAGAGAGAGAGAGAGAGAAATTAATATTTCTTTTTTTTTTTTCCTTTTTAAAAAAACCAGTTCAAACGGTTAGAACCGTGTCGGTTCCCGGTTCCAAAAATGAGGAACCGGAACGAACCGGTTTTTTCGGTTTCGGTTCGGTTCTAAAACCGTTGACCCCGGTTCGGTTCCGGTTCCAGTTCCGGTTCTAACCGAACGGATGGTCAGGATGGGAGATGGGGTAAGATGGGAAAATTCTTCCTCTATTTTATTTTTCTTTGCACGAAATTCCCTTAGTAATTAGTGCAAGTTTTCCTTAACTCGTGATAATTTACGTAAGACTAACATAATTTATTCATTTGAAACTCAAACTTCTTTCTAAAATTAAGTCCATTTGTTGTGTGAAATACACGCGCGAAACGGATTGGACGATAGGGGATTTTGTGGAATAAAAAAGTAGAGAGTGTTTGACACAATAAATTAGTGCATTTCAGTTAGTTAGATTATCTCCAACCATTTTTCAAACTAGTTTCACAACCTTTCACAAATTTATCTTAATATATATTCACTCCTAATAAGTCTGATATATTCAAAATATTAATTTAAAAGTCAGTTATTTAAAGAGTTTGGAACATCCATCCAAATTAAAAAATTCAGGAGATAATTCAAAATAATTAATGACTCTAGAAATATTTAGAAGACTTTTCAAATACTACTTGCTAGAACTGTTAAGATCAGTGTTCTAAAAATCGGCCGAGGCGGTCCAAAACCTTTACGATTTTAGTGTAAAGGTTTGAAAAATCGGTTTTCTGCCTGTGAGGCGGTTTTAGGCGGTCTGAGGCGGTCAAACCTTTAAGGCGGGTCAAACTCCGTGGCAAAAATTGGTTAAAAATCGGTTTTTTTTTTAATTCAAAATAAAAGTTGGATTTTAATAAAAGAAAATATGAGTTTATGCCTTATTTTGTTTATGTTAATTATTATTGTTAAAGAACTGAATAAATGTTAATTCAAAAATTTTGCTTTTTTATTTATATTTTATAAGGATATTTATGTATTATGATCTTATAATTATTAAACTTTTATTATGTTATTAGGATATATACATGATGGAGATATAACTATGTTTAAATATCTTTTTATATATGTTTGGAGTATTTATAAATAATATTTAGAAATATATTATATTAAATTTAAAAAAGCGATTTATTTCCGATTAATCACCGCCGCACCGATTAATCGTGAGTCGGTGCATGACCGACTCGGACCCGATTACCGCCTTTTACAACCTTGGTTAAGATGCAGAAAAAGAAATGATGCATTCAAACTAATTAATCTCCATTGTGTCTGCGGCAGTTGGACGAAATGATGCACCGTTTGAAGCATCGAAAACTAGATAGACAAGGTTTTCCATCCATATCATCATCCTATGACGCTTTCGGAACAATTACATAATTTTATTTGAAGTTGACTTTGAAAGTTGGAAATTCATATATGACTGGCGAGATACCATTCGAAAATTACTTCACTCGATATAACTTATACATAAAATGAACTCAATTATAGAATATAACATTTCGAACAATTTCATATCGTCTTTTGAATGATTCTATATGATCCCAATGTTGGGAAAATTGGTTAAAAAATTGAGTCATGAACAATTTTTTATCAATGTTATTGTACGGTCTAATTGAGTATATAAATGAATTTTGGATTAGAACCAATTTTGTGGTGAATGAAAAAATTACTAGTCCAAAACATAAGGAAAGTGGGATTTTGAGTTATCCCACATTGGAAAAGTAGAGAAGTACTGAGCTGTATATATATAAAAAACATTGGGTCATGGGCTTTTAACCCATTGGGCCCTTATTACTCGAAGCCCATCTCGATTGGTCTGACTGGTCTGAATTGGTGCGGCCGAACCAATGCAAACCATTCGGCTCAACTCGAAATGGTGCAACTACTCCCAATTGGCTCAATTCGAAATGGTGCAACCATTCAAACAAAAGGTACCTTTTTACTCCAAAAGGACACTACTTTTCGAACCTTATAAATAGACCCTAACTTTCCCACAATTCCTCACTTCAATCCAAAAACAAGCCTACTACATATTAAGCCTACCCTTCACAGATTCTCTCGAAAAGTTCTACACAAAGTACAGTTCGTCGTACTTGGGATTTGGAGTGCTCCTATTCCAAGTTTTGCCGTTGTATCTTGGGAGACGATTTCCATTTAATCCGTTAGCACCGTTGCGGGGAAATTTCGTCTTAAGGACAGAGTCAACTCGCCTCGGCTAATCTTTTCGTATTTTCACTAATTAATTTGTTCAACCAATTTACTAAATTCACTACCCGTTTTATGTATCGGGACCAACAATCTTAAGACGAAATTTTTTTTGTGATTTAGTAAATTGTGTTTTCTGCACACGTTGGTAAACGAGATGGAGAAGAAGATAGTCATCCAAAAATCAAGAAGTTACAAAATACAATTGGAGAAAGTTCATTTTCGGACAGAACATGAAGTCCACATTCTTACCCATTTTCGAAGATGTTAAAGTCAGAATATGGCAAATTAACATTTCACAAAAGTTGTAGATAATCAAGTTAGCTTTCCAGAACATGTTAAATCGTCACAATCGGAGATCGTACGAGGAAGTTATGATGAAAACATGAAAGGGTGGCAGAACTGCCAATGCACCTTTTCATAAGAAATTACAACCGTTCATGACCAATGCAACTCGTCGCATATTAACGCATCACCAATGTCCAATGCACGAAATTTTGGTGAAAGAAGACTGAATCGAAGATCAATAATGAGGTTTTATATTATTTTTGATTCATGAATATTATTTAATAATTTTTTTCTAGTTCCATTGTAGGTGCAAATTTACAGCACACCTATTCCGACTTCGAGGCTTATTTTGATCATGATCCAGTCCGAATCTCAGAAAACGTAAAAGATAAAAGTTGTAGAAAAGTTTGTTGGCTGTTCGGTTCATATTATATCAACAAAATCGGACTTGGAACGGAAGAGATATGAATAAATCATTCAGCACTGCCATAATATTGACACGATTTGGTGCTACCCACAAAATTTTGAATTGACGAACATATAATTTACCGGGTACGCTTTTTAATTATAAGATATCTATTTGTGAAATATATTGATAATTCTATATGATATAATGGTGGATTATTGCATGATAGTTTAATTTTCTATGTGGAAGCATGGTAAACCATATACAATATATATGCTTAATGAATATTCATGATGTTTGTGTATGTACATTAATAATAGAAATATTTTTATCCTAAATAAAATAAAGTGATAGCGTATGTGCTAATTAATTGAATAAGTTTATCATAAACTGCATGATAAGTGCTATACTAATGACATTTCTCATGAAAATGCAATATTTATTTGCATAAATTGCTTATAGTTTGATATGGGATTAACTTTCTCCCAATTTGATGTGGAACTGTCCGGTTGATTGATTTCGAATATGTGAGTACGTGATCTTATTAACGTTTTTATTATTGTCATGATCGATTAGACTTGTCTCGTATATTAAGTATGAGTTACTTACTAAGAGGAATATTATTATAAATATTATTATTTGCGTAAGCCATACTAATTCCTTAGAATTGTGTTATTGCATGGACATGCATTGATTACGTGCTATAGAATTTTTATAAATTCATTATGTTGGACATGAATTTATTTATGCCATGAAATCTTATTTTCAAATTTGATGCTATTATATACTAGTGTGTATACTATGTATATGTTGATATAATATGCTTGATATATTGTTTCTTTCTATGATCAACTAGTATGAAAGACGTGCTCACATATTATGTTTATTATAATATTGATGTACATATGAATCATACTACGGTTTAATTAAAAGCATGATTTGAAATAAAATTGAAAGAAAGAGAAGCTCAATTCATGATAACACATGAGTAGTTCTTGTCTCAAGAACATAAAAGAAGATCGAATCGTTGGTTTGATTTGATTTGATATCACATTTGCAAAATAATGATCTACAATGTGAATGAATGAGATCGGATTTTGATTCTTCAAAGATCCGAAATCGTTGTTAACAACAATGGATGTTTTGTTGAAATAAAATTCGAGCAGTTTAATTAAGAGCTCGTTTTGTAGAATTAAATCGTTGGATTTGACTGAATTTTGAACAGCATGTTTAGGACATGCAATCCTAAATTATGAATGATTAAGATTAGAATTTATATATTCTAACTTTAATGTTGAATAGTGGAGATCAACCACCATTTGAAGAGATTAATATTCTCTTGTTTATTGACAAGATTTGAGTATCTTGACGAATTTTCTCTTTTGAGGAAAAGGAAGAAATCTTACTATCTCATTTGTTGACAAGATTTAAGTATCTTGAGAAGATTTCTCTTTTTGTGATTTCTTGAAATACAATTTCTTTTGTAATTAAATCATATTGGTGATCCAATATATTTCTCTAACTAAAGAAGAAATGTATTTTGTAACATTGTGTATCCTTATTGATAAATAAAAATAAGGATTTCAAAGCATTTAAATGCTATCTGAATGAAAGTTGGAAAATGCAACTTTGACAAATGAATTAAAAAATGAGTATTGAAACTCTTGAAAAATTTATGGATATAATAATGATAAATTCTAGAATACATACTCTAGAATTTGTGGGAAAAATTAGATATTCCGAGCTAAGCACATTAATATTTAGAAATGTGGGGGTCTTTAGGCCCTAAACACGTAAATTAGATACCCCGAGCTAACCACATTAATATTTAAAAAATGTGGGGGTCTTTAGGCCCTAACCAGTAATCACATTAATATTTAGAAATGTGGGGGTGTAAGGCCTAGTATAATTAAGTGGATAAATAATGATTGTGCACAAGATAGTCACTCTTGATGCAAATTGATTATATTGTGTTTTCTTGTAAAATAAGAAAATAAATAAGTTCGTAATAAAAGAACTTATAAATGTGTAAGTGGTAAATCATCAAAGTGATGAACAACCAAGTTAATATACGTGTGAGTGGTAAATCATCAAAGTGATGAACAACCAAGTTAATATATGTGTGAGTGGTAAATCATCAAAGTGATGAACAATCAAGATACAACAAGATGGCAAAGAAAATCAATACGTTTGATTTTGATTTGATTTTATTAACTTATGAGTTATAAAATGAACGATGGACAATTGTCTTTTTTCAAGTAGTAAACCATTAAGGTTTAGATGGACTATTCAAAAGAAGAATTAAAATGGTGGTCCAATTAAGCTAAATTAAATAGCTATGGAAAATCTTGATTATTTATAACAAGATATTGAAACTCGTTAAGTGATTTTAAAGTAATATTTGATAAAATTGTGTTGTCAAATAGTTCTCGTAATAACGAGTGTGACCAGTGTGTTTATATTAAAAGCACATGGAAGTGTATGTCCATAGACGACATTATAATCATGAGATAATGATCATGATATTATTTTGAACGTTGAGAAAATATTGAAAATAAAAATAAAATTATGTTTGATGTCAAAAGACGAGGGTTTAGACGATGTAATCTTATAGATTAAAGTCACTAAAACAAAGATAGTCTTATTGAAAGTCTCATGTTGAGACACTACTAGAAAATTGATCTAGTTGTCTAAAAAACCAAGTGTTTACCTTGCCAAAAATAATGATGAACAATGGTTCAATTACAAATATTTTTGGCAGCATAATGAATTGCCAACTAGTAAATATGTAATTCCAAAAATAATAATCATTAAATGATATTATAAGGGTTCTTAGGTAATCTAAGTATAGCCTTTAAATGGATTACATTAAAGAAGATATCTTATTGTGTTAGGAAAATACATTGGATATATGAGTCCACTAAGATTATGTATCTTGGAAATCCTCAAACAAAATTGAATAGCTCGATTCATGGTCGAATTCGAATGTATAACTTGAGATAAGGTTATAAAAGAAGTTGAATAAACTTCATAAAATTATTGGAGGATGTTCCGTGTTGGACTAAGTCGGTGTCTACAATTATGAATAAATTGTGATAACCAATCGATTACGTTAAGGGCACAAACGACATGTATAATGGCAAGTATCGATACACTCGTACACATAAGACCATTAGGCAATTGATCTCAAAAGAAATAATATAACATTGATTATGAAAATCAATGGTTAATAGCGGATCCGCGACTAAAAGTCAACTAAAGAGATCAAACATATTGCCTGTCTAGGGGAGTGAGATTAAAACCCATAAATTAAGGACAATCTTGGTGGTAACCCAACCATGCTGACTGGAGATCCCAAGAACTGGTTCAAAAGGGACAACTAAGCTAAGAAAGTTCAGTGATGCACTAAGGAGTATATATTCCTATGGAATAATATATTTCCAACTCATTCCCGTGATAGACATTAGTGCTGCCTGCAGAGAGGGTAAAGGATAAGCAAAAGCTTTTAATGATTCCAAAACCTTATAACAAAAGGTGAGGTATTGGCAGGATACCTTTAATAGGAGATCACCTATGTAAGTGTATGAAGTGAGGGCCGCTTCAAAAATTTGACAAACACTTATGAATCCAAGATGTGTGTCCATGGCCAAAACGGACACAATCATGAGAACTAAGGAAATGTGAGAATAGTATTGTGTGGGTTGCATTGTCTTGGTTTACACGAACGGCTGACAGTTCAAGACATCGCGTTCACTACTCAGCCTAGTAAATCCGATGTAACTCCACTACGGAAGGTTCAAAGCTATATGCTACCTATCCCGATGCAATACTATTCGCGGGAACTCTAGAGAGAATCGACGCCCTCGTTTTCATTCATGTGGGGGATTGTTGGGAAAATTGGTTAAAAAATTGAGTCATGAACAATTTTTTATCAATGTTATTGTACGGTCTAATTGAGTATATAAATGAATTTTGGATTAGAACCAATTTTGTGGTGAATGAAAAAATTACTAGTCCAAAACATAAGGAAAGTGGGATTTTGAGTTATCCCACATTGGAAAAGTAGAGAAGTACTGAGCTGTATATATATAAAAAACATTGGGTCATGGGCTTTTAACCCATTGGGCCCTTATTACTCGAAGCCCATCTCGATTGGTCTGACTGGTCTGAATTGGTGCGGCCGAACCAATGCAAACCATTCGGCTCAACTCGAAATGGTGCAACTACTCCCAATTGGCTCAATTCGAAATGGTGCAACCATTCAAACAAAAGGTACCTTTTTACTCCAAAAGGACACTACTTTTCGAACCTTATAAATAGACCCTAACTTTCCCACAATTCCTCACTTCAATCCAAAAACAAGCCTACTACATATTAAGCCTACCCTTCACAGATTCTCTCGAAAAGTTCTACACAAAGTACAGTTCGTCGTACTTGGGATTTGGAGTGCTCCTATTCCAAGTTTTGCCGTTGTATCTTGGGAGACGATTTCCATTTAATCCGTTAGCACCGTTGCGGGGAAATTTCGTCTTAAGGACAGAGTCAACTCGCCTCGGCTAATCTTTTCGTATTTTCACTAATTAATTTGTTCAACCAATTTACTAAATTCACTACCCGTTTTATGTATCGGGACCAACAATCCCAACTCAATACCCAATCTTCATCTGAGTTTTCTGTCTCTACATACGTTGAAAATGAGGAAATTTCTTTACCGGATAGAGTTGGAGTACTAAAGATCGAGGACCCGGCTTAGGAGGAATTAGTATGGCGTCGATACTACCTTATAATATTTCCACAACTTTACACATTGATGGTCTATCTCATGGAGTTGTCTAAATGCACAAAAACCCGATCAAAAACATTTTAGGAAAAATACAGTTTTTGTCCCTCAAGTTTGCACCAATTTCACTTTCGGTCCTCCATGTTCACAAAAAACACATTTAGTCCCTCATGTTTCAATAACTTGACACTTTTTTGGTCATTTCCGTCAATTTTATGTTAGTATTAACGGAATCAAGCGTGTGCACACCACTGCCTTAACTAACGCACTAACGGTAAATTGATGGAAATGACCAAAAGTGTCAAATTATTGAAACGTGAGGGGCCAAATGTGTTTTTTTTTTTTAAATAAAAGTGACCAAATATAAAATCAGTACAAACTTGAGGTATGAAAACTGTAATTTTCCCAAAACATTTTCCTTGCAATTTCTTCTTCCTCTTCAATCATGCAGTTATCTAATTTCTTTGTAATATCCAGTACATTCTCGTATATTTTGTCAGGAAAATAATCCTCACTAGATAGTAGTACTTCGCCAGTTCCACCGATTTGTTTTGCTCCAGCCATTTCAAGAACCATCATTCCATAACTATGGACATTGGATTTATGAGAAACTCTTCCAAAATTTCTCGAAAGTACATCAGGAGCAGTATACCCGATTGTGCCTCTTGTTCCAAGCATCGATATTACACTCGGCTTCTTCTTGCCTAACTTTGCAAGCCCAAAATCAGATATTTTAAGACAAAAATCTTCGTCTAGAAGAATGTTCTTAGACTTAATGTCGAAATGGACAATTCTTGCATTGCACCACGTGTGCAGATATTCCAAACTTTTTGCAACCTCAACTGCAATATTGTACACTTTTTCCAAATCTAAACAATTATTAGAGACGAACTTGTCTAACGATTTGTTGGGCATAAATTCGTACACTAAAGCTCTTTTATTTCGATCAAAGCAAAAACCCAAGAGATTGACAATATTGACAATAATCATATTACAATGGACACTATGACCACACCAGTTATACTACGTAGCACCACTGCATGTGGAGGCACCGTATAAGAGGTTCCTTACATGATCAAACAATAGAACTAACAAAACATAGTAAGCTGAAAACTATAATCAAGGATTTTACCTACTATAATCTTAACTCCTTTTCCCTGTAATTGATCATGGAAAAGGAACAAGTAAACCTTTAAAAGACTTCGACAAATCATTCCAACACAAAGAACCTCAATGAAAAAGAAAAGAAATAAAAGAAAGAAAACGAAAATGTTTAAAGAATTAGTAGTAGATATACCACTTCTGTTGTTTTCAGGGGAATAGCCAGGTGCTCGTGCGATCTCAGGAGGCAAACCTTGTGGAAGATTTCAATGCATTTTTTTATATTATGGTGTACACTGATAGCTTCTTCAACATATGAAGATAACTTGGCACTGAATGCTCTAGATTTTGAGCCAAAGTAAGGATAAGTATTAGGGTAATTACTAAATAACATTAAACCACCTAAACTTTGCCCCATTTTGCAGATTACCACCTCAACAAAAAAAATGCTGTACGATAGTGCCACAAGGCCTATTTTCAAGTCATTTTTGCCGGAATTCACAACATGTGCATTGCACACAGGGCGTACCCATGCTTGTGGCTGGGGTGGCCCCCGCCCCCCCAAGATTTTTTTTAAGCTGTTTTTTTTTTTTTGGCATTTATGTATTAGTTAATACACTTTCGCCCCCCCAAACTTTTAATTTTGTACACTAGTCCTAAAAACAAAACAAAAAAAAAAAAAAAAAAAAAAATTCCTTTCTTAAACTCTTTTTTCCTTCTTCCCCTCCATTTCTTCTCCTCATCTTCATTCTTTTTTCTTCATTTCATGTATGTGTACTTCTTCAAAATCACAATCCCTAATTCTTCCATTTTTACCTCCATTTCTATTGAAAGGTTACTTATTTGAGAATAATCCTAATAACTTGGGCTGCCATTTCTTGGTACTCAAAATATTTTTTTAGTTTAAGCAATTGAATTAGTGGGCGACAGAGCGCAAAATATATGACAATTGAATCAAGAGAAGCGCTCAATCTCTAAATTTTTTCTTGCTATTTGCTTATTGAAAGAGCTCTTCAGCCATTTTCACTTGCCTTGAGCTTGCGAATAAGCTTGTCAAAGCTCATGATTACATCAACATTTTGGCATGTCTTTTGGTAGGCATATTTAGGATTGTTGCTATATTCATAAATTCGAAAGCCATTTGATGTACGTGTGCTGCTTTGATTCATGTATACTAGTAGTTTTCATGGAATGTTGGTGTAGAGGCTGAATCAATGTAAGTAATATTTCCTGGTTGAAATGGAATTTCATGGGAATTAGACGATTTGAGCAAGTTTTAAATCTAGTTCAATTGAGTCCTGAAAACTTTTAATTTCACCACCCAAATGATATATTCAGATGAAAATACGAAAATTCCCATGGACATAGTTATGTGCCTCCCAGTGCGACGGAATATTCTCTGAAAATTAGACGTAGGTGGTTAAGTGGCTCGAAATATCGAGTTTGAGCGTACTCGTAATTTTTTTTTTGTTTTGTTTGAGGTGGTAATCCCCAAAAACAAGCAAAGATTAGGTGGCTTAATGTTATTTCCATATATATATATATATATACATATATATATATATATATATATATATATATATATATATATATATATATATATATATATATATATATATATAGCTACCTACCACCTATATCTACCTATACCTATACCTATACCTATACCTACTACATAATGTTTTTGGTTTCTTAACATATTTGTGCTTCCTATTATGCCCCTCATAACTAACTTACTAATTAGTTATGGTCAATTATGCAAATAATAATAATGAAATAACAATTTAATATAGTTAAATAAATTTGTTTAAATATGAACTGTCTTTTCATATGTTCAAATAATTACACAAGGTGATCGTTGATTTTCTTCTTATTTTAATTCTTTCTACATAATTAACTTTTAGATAAAATTTACTTCGTCTTAAACTAGATTCGAAAAACTTTACAATGACATATTATATGCATATATGTAGAAAATTGCTTTTTTTCATTTTATACATCAAGTAGTTTCAAATTTAAATTAATTATGATATACCTAATTGGGCCGACCCAATGGGCCCTAAATTATCTAATAAATAGGCCCGACACACGAAAGCCCAAGCACCTTCAAAGTAAGGCTTGGGCCCAACAAAATAAGCCTAACCCAATCAGCAACATATAAATAGATGTTTTACTCATTTGTACAGATACGTTTTATTATTTACCAAGAATCTAGAGCTTAATTCTCTCTACCATCTCCACGATCCGAATATCTGACTTGAGCGTCGGAGGGGTTTCCGCCTGATCAACCCCCAGCGTAGTTCACGTGTGTTCATTTCGCAGGGACCTCAGGATCATCAAATTGTCAAGCTACTGATCCGCTTTGCTCTCCCAACTCATTTTCTACACTACCCTAGGGGATCTACATTTTAGGGGATAATTACACTTTTTGTCCCTATACTTAGCACCTAAAATGATTTTTGTCCTCAAATTTTTGTCACCACGAATTTAGTCCTCAAACTTGCCATTTTTTGACACTTTTAGTTCGGCCGTCAACTCACCCTGTTAACTTGGACGGAAATGTCATGTGCGTCGCACGTGAGGTCCATGTGGCAGTCCAAATCAAGTTGAAAGATGAGTTGGACGATATCTCATTGTCTCTCCCTATCTCTCTCCTATCTCCCTTACAAATACTTAATCCCCTTCCTACAAAAAACCTCAATTTCTCATCTTCAAATTCCCAAAACCTGATCCCAGATTCTAGTAGCTAATCACTGCACATATATTGGTTTAAATTTTCTAGTTTTTCGTACAATTTTCAATATTTTTATGTTCAAGGGAAAATGCACGCCTGCCCACAACTATAAATCCAACAATTTATTTAAGGTTTGAATAAAGAAATATTGGCAGTCCTCTCGATACTCAAAAAATCAAACGCAATCTTCGAAGATGAGGAATTGGGGTAGAGTTATGGGAATTTGAAGATGATGGATTGGGTAGAGTTTGGGGAATTTGAAAATGGGAAATTGGGGGTTTGTGTGGAAAAGAAATTGTGAATTTATTGTAGAATATGAGAGAAATGGGGATATATGATGAGGTGTCGTCCAACTCATCTTCCAACTTGATTTGTACTGCCACATGGACTTCACGTGCGCCGCACATGCCATTTCCGTCAAAGTTAACTGGGTAAATTGACGGCCGAACTGAAAGTGTCAAAAAGTGACAAGTTTGAGGACTAAATTCATGAAGAGAAAAGTTTGAGGACTAAAATCATTTTAGGTGACAAGTATGAGGACGGAAAGTGTAATTAGCCCACATTTTAGCATCATCATTTTGGCGCCGTCTGTGGGAAAGATGCAAACCAGATCACGTAGCCAACAAGATCCTCCTGAGGCGTCTGCTCGGAGAGAAAATGACACAGCTAATAACCTCCCAGTCCGTGGAGGATCTGGCATGCCACCTCCTCCACGTGCCGCGGAGCCACTTCCTCCACGTGCCGCGGAGCCACCTCCTCCACGTGCTGCGGACCCACCTCGCGAGGTTCAGGTGATCCCTCATCGGGACCCACCAGTCGCCGATCCTCCACTCCCTGCTCCTCGAACGGTTCAAATAACCGAGGACGCGCTCCAACGCATGATAGCAGAAGCATCAACTCGCGCCGCCACGGAGGCCGTAACTCAATATATCGCCACGATGGGAGCAAACACTCCCAATGCGATACCAGCGCCAGCTCCACCTATAGTGCCACCTGTGACCCCACCGCCAATCCAGAATCAAATAAGTGTCTCCTCTTCCACCTCGGACCCACGGTTCCGAGTGCAGCTATCCACAAATCATAGGGGGGCACAGCCCAGACAGCATCGTCAACGCTCACACCCACGGGGGAATGCGTCTCCACAGAGAGTCCATCTCTTTAATGAAGGAGAAGGCGAGGTAAACAGCAGAATATCCCGCCACCTACTGAACAATCCAATTGGCGAAAGAATGCCCGTCCCAATAAGACGCAGTCCTTTCACCATAGACATCCTCAACGAGGTATTACCTCAAGGAGTGAAGATCTCGGGGTTACCTCAATTTGAAGGGACCACCGACCCACAGGAGCATATAGAGAAATTCAGCGCCATGGCGGATTTATATGGCCTAACGGATGCTGCGATGTGCAAAATGCTCCGCACCACTCTCTCCAAGAGAGCAATGAATTGGTTCAATTCTCTACCTGTAGGATCGATTGACACCTTCGCTCGGCTGTCAACACGGTTCACCAACCAATTCGCCATCAACAAGCAGTATGCCAAGACTCAGCCCACATTTTCTCTGTAGTACAGAGAGATAACGAAACGCTCCGCAACTACATCAAGCGTTTTGTAGAAGCCGTCCATGAAGTTCCCAGTGTAGGGCAAGACATGCTCTCCGGGATTATGCAACAGAACTTGAAGCCGGGTAGATTCAAAGAATCTATCGCCGGAAGGCCCCCAGGCAACCTAGAGGAGTTGTTGAATCGAGCCGAGAAATACGTCCGGATAGAGGAAGCCTCTACCCATGCTCCTCCTAAGAGGAAAAGGGAAGATGACCGTCAGGACAATAGGAGGCGGGATGATCGACGTCCACCATTTCCACCTCAAGGTCAACCATCTTCCTCCTACAATTGGTTTACTCCGCTAAATACTCGCCTCACTGAAATCCTTCACGTGATAGAACAAAAAGGTTTAGCAGAGCCTCCACGTCCTATGCAGCCAAATGCAAAGCGAGAAAAGTCGGATCGCTACTGTCGATTCCATAAAGATAGAGGACATACTACTGAGGAATGTGCACAACTCAAAGTGGCGATTGAGAGGCTGATCAAGCAAGGCCACTTGGGCGAATACATCGATAAGCCTCGAAATAAGCGCCGTGATGATCTTCCACGCCGA